ATGAGCACTCACTGCTCACGGCAAGTAAGTTATTCTACTAATTGAAGGACATATCAATAGTTTTCATGTTCCAGATATCTCGGAAGTGGATGCACAATGACTGATTTACATCTGTACTTTCATTTGGGGATATCAGCACTGAGCAAAATTGTGAAGCAAGTAACTCAAGAAATATGGAGGACGACGAAGAGTGTATGTTTAGCTCAACCGGATGCCAAGAAGTGGAAATGTATAGCTGAGGATTTCTATTCTGCAGCAAATTATCCCAACTGTGTGGGCGCTATGGATGGGAGGCATGTGCGTGTAATTCAACCTACACATACTGGATCCATGTACTATAATTATAAACACTATTTTTCTGTTGTCTTGTTGGCCATGTGCAATTCGAATTATCTGTTTACTTTTGTTGATATCGGTGCCTATGGAAAAGAAAGTGATTCAACTGTATTTAAGAACAGTGCCTTATACGACGCAATAAAAAATAATACATTAAAATTGCCAACAGCAAAACCGATCAGTGAATATTTCAATACACATCTGCCATATGTAATTGTCGCAGATGAAGCTTTTGCACTTTCAGGTCATGCAATGCACCCATATCCAAAGAAGTCTTCGACAACACGAAAAAAGGTGTACAACTACTGTCATTCCAGAGCACGCAGATTCATAGAGAGCTCTTTTGGCCTACTGTCTAACAAATGGAGGATATTCCACAGACCAATGAATGTGGGTCTCTCCCTGGCAGAAGATATCATCAAGGCATGCTGTATTCTGCACAATTTTGTGAGGAGAAGAGAGAGCTACAAATTTGAAGAAACTTTACACGTCACTGGATTTGAAGGTCTCAATGTTGATAATGAAAGCAGAGGGACAGCCACTGCTATAAACGTCAGGGACAACTTTGCTGACTACTTTGACAGCACTGAAGGTGCATTAGAATGGCAGTATCATGTAATTTGATTTATTTCTAAGAACTAAGAATGTCAGAACTTAAAAGAAAGAATATTAAAAAAAAGTCTTTAAAATGTTTGTTATTGTTAAATTATTATTATTATTATTATTTATTATTATTATTATTATTATTATTATTATGACTCATTTTCACACACTCAACTGTATACCGTATTTCGCTTACTTCTATAATTTTATAATTGCATATAATTCATTAAAATAAATTTACTTACCTAATTCATTTAAATCAGCTTCAGTTGCGTTTTCTTAATGACTGAATGTGTTTACCAGCTCCAACAAACATTTCTTTTTCAAGTCTCTAGAGGGGTAATCCTTACAACTGATATCCCAAATGGCTGGCCTGTCGTGAACTTCTAAAATGAATCTTTTCGAGTCAAAATTGTCTTCCGAACTCATTTTACAATTTTAAAATATAATCGGAATGAACTAACCGGGTACACTACAAGTGGCTGTACTGGACCACACCATGTACAAGGCACAACACCGGACAGTGGCCTGACATGGTGGTACGACGCCACGACCAGCCTGGTCGCTCGTAAAATCGCATCCTCCGGCCACCGCATTCCTGGAAGCGCCACCAACGAAGCTTCCGCCACCACAAATCGCCCAGTGTAAAAGAGTCCATGTAACCGCAATGGTGCGCATGGTCGTGCTACCGTGGTGGCGCAACCACGGTGGCCCCGTGTGCAAAAGGCCTAAGTCTTCAAGCCGTTGCACATTCGCCTCTGCGGCAATCTCCGTTGGCCTCCCGACGCGCTGTTCGTCTTCGACATGTGTCCGCCCTTCAGAGAACTTATACACCCAATTGTAAACAGCTTGACGTGACAAGCACTTCTCACCGTAAATGGGAAGCATTTCTTTATGAATATTCTTTGATTCCATACCTTTTGCCCACAAAAATCGCACAACGGAGCGCTGCTCGAGGGTTGTACACTCAGGCATGGTGTCCAACGTCATCAATTGCCACCTTACTAATGCTGCCATCTAGTGGCGATTGCCTCAAGTGCCTCATTCAAACATTGCCCCACATCAATTTGTAACTTACTTACTGACTCACCTACGTATGATTTATTTCATATCCTATTGCCATATGACAAATTCTGAATCTGATTGTCACTTTGTGTGTGTTGGTGTGTGTATTCGTGTGTGCGTGCTATGTGTGCGTGTGCACGCGCGGATTGTGTATATTTATGAAAAGTTCTTCATGATCAAAATGTAATTTATCTAGTAGTTAGTATTGCAATTTTCATGCCACAAGCAATTCTACTTGGATAAGACACAATTTCTATTTAGATATGATTACTTAGTGTCTCCTTGCTCACAACATTGCTTGAAAGCTGCAGTGGGAAAGGTGGCATATTTGTCACAAGCCTGTAACTCTTAAACAAAATCCAACAATCAGGAAATGCCAATTAACAAACATTCCTAGCACACGGCAAATTACGGCAGAAAAACGGTGAAGTAAAGACTGCAGACAATCTTGAATGTGTGAAGTTGTCCCTGTGCTCAACGACTTCAGCACTACGCCATGAATATGTATGTGGGAGTGGATGTATAGATCCACATTTACTTGACCTCGGCACTAGTTGGAGGTTGGGGGGGTCAGCTTCACGCCCCGGCCGCTTTACCACCGGGAAAGGAGCCCCCGTTACCCATTGAATAGGAGGTTGGGTTGACCCCAGAGCCGGTCTGGACGATTTGGAGAAATTTCTTGACCCTACTGGGACTCGAAATCCGAACCCTCCGTCGTCAAGCCCGTAGCCAGTCGCTATACCGACTACGACCTTTTCAAATTTGGACTGACAGATGCCCCAACCCGTGAAAGGTGCCTTTAAGAAGACGAATCAGCCCCACATATCCTATGTGATTGTGAGGCCATAGCTTACGTAAGATTTCGTCACCTGGGTCAGTTCTTCATTGAACCAAGTGACTTTTATGACGCCCCCATAAATAAAGTTCTACATTTCATTCGAAGTTTAGGATTAATAAAGGATTCATCCAAAGGGGAAGCACAGTAGATCACTGAAGGTCGCAGTGCGGGGGCCGGATTTTATGGCCCACCCTTACACACATACAGACTACGCTACGCCGTGTAACGAAACCAAACGAGCTCGGTTCTGAATCTTTTCTGAGAAACATATATAAGAAAGATTATCGTTTCGTACGTAACGCAGTGTAGCCCGGTAGGAGTTCTCTTACGTTTCGGAGTAACATGCTGCGTCTATCGTCAGAATTCAGGAGGAAGCCAAGCAAGCAACCAGCAAGATTCAGAGGTCAAACAAAACTTGCTGCCTGCTTGCTTCACTTGCTCTTCAGCCCTAACTTTCGAGACAATGTGTTCACTCGAAACGTCGGTGAATTTTTTCCGGACCACATGTCCTGCGAGAACTTCAAAACCTAGCAATTGGTTAACGCTTTGTCTTCTAAGAGTACTTACAGTCTTTTCAGTAAATTTTAGAACCAGAATGGAGATTATAGTAATATTAAAAATAAGGCCAAACATAACGAGAGAAAGATACGGAGATACTGTTTATATTACGAGGTCTGCACAGACACACGTTTAGTTCAGAGCGCATCTGAAGGCATTAGTATCTAGACTGCTCGAAATCTATGTCCACACACGCTTATGAGTGTTTCTGTCTCTCTCTCCTTGTTTCTATATTCCTTTCAATAAAAGCAAAATGCTCTCTGCTCCTGGTGTAAATGTGGACGTCTAATTTGTTTGCCGGAATACAAGAACACCCTATACAGCAACGTTCTCATGAATTTGCTAATAGATCCACTGTTTTTCCACACAGTTTGTCACCTACAATTCGAATATTTTCTCCGAACTGAACGTACTTTAAATTATTCTCTTTACTTGTTTGTGGCGAATAATTATGTACATGAAAATAGCAACAGTACCTCGCTGTAATTAAGCAAGTACGAGTACTAGGTCAAAGATGGTGCCAGGTTAGAGATGAAGCCTCCAACTTAAAATACAGAACATGGACGAGTAATAATGTTCTGCCGGTTTCAGGTATTTGGACACCTCAGGGGTTTGCATAATAAATGTGTGCGGAGCAATAGTGGCATGATGACTAGCAGGGAAAAACCAACGGATATCCGAGAAAATCCTACTCCAGTGCCGTCATTAATTCTACCATGAAGTTACCATGGTTTAATCCCAGGCTTCTGTGGTGAGAAGGCACCATCTACAGTAAAACTTGGTTATAGCAACATCGGTTTCTGCGACACCTTGTCTATTGCGTCAAATATTCAATCGTACGAACTAATTCCTCATAAAGCAACTGTTTTTATACCTTGCTTAGTACGACATGCACAAATGCATCAACCTCGTATGTAAAGTCATTTTCATTCCTGAATTTCTCTGATATGGACATTGAACGTAATTTAGAAAGTGTGTATTGGGCAAGTAACAGGAAACAGATGAAGATAACTGATTACTGTACTCGTATCTAGGTACAGTAAGGCACAACAATTGATGTAATCTACTGTAATTTGGTGAGTAGGCCTACCTTTAATATACAGTATTAGTGCGGTGTGTATTGTCAGTGAAAAGCGCTGTAATATGTCTTTGATATTACACATTTGGGCAATTCCACGTTAATGTTACGTTAGTCTGTACTTAACTACGTATTTTACTAAAAAAAATGCAACATTTTAACTCGGTTTTTGGTAGATTTTTACGTGACTAACATAAGGCTACTGTGGAAGTGCCCATTTCGGTTACAACGACATTCGTTTATAACGACACTATTTTTAGGTCCCTTTGATGACGTTATAACCAAGTTCTACTGTATTTGCACCATAAGCACAATACGTGCATTCAATCTTCATACCAGATAAAAATACATTTAAGGTTAACTGCGAATTACAAGTAATCCGTTGACACGAGTCTCTGAATTCATTCATTCCTCTCTATCCATTCGACTGCGTTTAATCTGCCATAAGCCTCCTTTTGACACTCTCCAGGCAGAAGACATCTGGTACACATTACAACTAAAAGGTTATCTAATGGGGCGTACCTGTTGAATCGACACATGTTCGCACAGGATCCGTCCAGAAGATGCACTTGAGAGCTCTTACAGCAGTTTCGTCACTTGATGGCAGTTTCGTCTGCACTGTTTCTGAAAACAGAAATTGCCAGTGATGTGAAATATCATAATACGCTACTGTAAATACAATAATCAGGATAAACGCCAAGGAAGAATTAAAATCAGTCAATTTACTGACTCCATGAAGCTGAACATTTCTTGAGAAGCCGCCGGTTGTACAGCTACTCAGGAATGACTTAGCATTTTGTGGAACCCAAACGTTTATTACAGTGTTCACAAGATTCCTCAATTTGTCTCTCCCCTGAGCCAGATCAATCAGTTTTCCGTAGCTTAGGTCGTTTATCCTAAAAGTTTGTCCGAGACCCTTCGTGACATTTGTAACAAGCTTATTTTATACGGTGAGGAGTTGTTAGCCACACGCCAATCCCCCATGCTGGAGGACCACCCCTTGTCAGCTGTACGCAACTACTTATTCAATACATTAACAGATACCCTCCGGGTATGGAGGGTGTCTTCTCCAGCCGCAAACACCAGAACGCGACATGCAATGGTGACAAGGGACCCACTTAACATGGGTAATCAATAAACTAAACAAATTAAAAGAGAAGGCGAGATACGAGATTGACTATGAAAAATTACGTTTATGGGACGACGTATCGTGTAGTCTGGTAGATATTTACCGACGTTTTACGTTTCGGAGAAATGATCTTCCTCAACCTACAGTAGCGAAGGGAGGAGCTAACTACAGTATTTCTCTAACTTAAAGATCAGAACAGCACGTTCCTCCGAAACGTCAGCAATGATCCACCCAATTACTGGATTGTCACATATCTGAATACAGTATTTGGTATCCTATTATTTTCACACAACTTGTACATTGCGCATTAAGAGTGGTGTTGAGTGTTCAGATTGGTGAGGGATACTGTAGTGTAAATTTTATTTCCTATAGAGCAAAAATATCCCAAATAATTTGTCGTGCAGGTTGGCTATATGCATTCGACAGGCAGAAGACAAGGCTGTTATTTAACCAGCACAGCCATCTACTGAATTTCCAGCAATTGTCTGCTACAGTAGTTATTTTCCTTAGCATGAAAGGAACACTCGGCCACAGAATATACACGAGATGGGTGAAAGCTTGTTTCGATAAGTTCGCCAGTTGTTCTCAACTGTTTTCTGACTGATGACACGCTCTTTGCAGTTGTTTATCAGTGTCATGGCAGCCGAGAAATTTGCGGAAAAGTGACAATATTAATCTAGATGTTGGCGTCACAGCTCACGAACTAGGCGTTTCTGTGAATATATTCTTTTCATATTACTCATAAAAATTTTGGTTACGTAGAATGGCGGCTATAAAATATGCAGATCTGAAAGTTGCAATCAATGTATTTAGCTTTTGACTCTAGTACACGAATCGAAACAAAGGTTTAATTATATCGGTGCCTACCTCCAAGAATACACGCCGGATCCCAACTATAAATATCATTACTTTAAGAGAGTCAATTGTCTACAGAGTATCATCTTCTCTATTTTAAAGAATTATACTTCGGTAGAAGTCGATTGATGAACGGAGAAGTTCATGGAGGTAGGCCTAGGCCCACTGGAGCTGTAGTGCCAAGGGGGAAAAAAAAAGAAATCCATTGTAGCTTCGGAGAACATATCGCCTCTATCTTTGTGGTCGAAAAATCCACCTATCTTACTCTTCTACCCTGATATGGATGCGAAATTTTCCCCCGAAACGTCGGTGGACTTACACCGAACTATACAACTTTAACAATCCGGAAGATCGTACGTTTCGTAGTCATTGCTCTGAGAACCTCAAATCCAGTACTGTAAGTAAGATGTTTATACTGGTAACAGAATAAAACCCACATGCACACCGTGGGCAACCCTTGAATGTCGAAACAGCTGGTTAAAATGTTGAACAGAATGAGGGCGATATCTTACGTAATAATGTAGATTAGGAACTGAAGCGTCAGTTTACAACTGGGATGAACAAGCCAGACGAGGACAGTGGTCGTTGCAAAGTTATCACGTTGTATTCTCATTACGAGCAAAGTATGGTGTTCGGAAATCTTGCAAGATCGTGGCAACTGCTGCAAACACGAGTGTTGCTTTCAAGTCCTGTTAACGTGTAACTTTAGATCCCGTCTCAGTGGCAAAGCAGAAGTGTCAGATTGTAAGTCTTATCTCTGGCAGTAAATACTATCAGTCTAGCCGGTACTGGTGTGCGTCAGCGAAATCAAATACCTGTAGTTAAGTGACTATAAGAATGCAGCCATTGTGATTTAAGATTCCTACCTTATGCGATGGGGTGAGTAGGCAACCTCCTGCTTTGATTGGTTCTTCCTGGGCAGCAAGGAAGGTGATGAACTCAAGTTAACAGACCGTGACAATGTGATAACTGCTTAAGAAATACGTATCCCAACTTGATGCTCCATCAATAGGTCAGATATAGCTGGGAGTTGCCTGGTTATAAGTCAACCGGAATATCTGCTGAATATGTATTTGAACTCGCATTATTACAATCGTGACCGCCTCTGTGGTCTATTGGCCAGAGTTCTTGGCTACAGATCCAGGGGTCCTGGGTTCGATTCTCGGCGCTACCAGAATTTCTGAGAAGTAGTGGGTTTGGAACTGGGTCAACTCAGCCTCGTGAGGATAACTGAGGAGCTATATCAAGGAAATAGCGCCTCCGGTTTTGAAAACCGAGATCAACGGCCTTGGGGATCCGTTGAGCTGACCACGTGACACCCTTCTATCCGCAAAAGTTGGCACTATCTTCGCCGACAAGAAGCGGACGCTCGGTCGGCGTAGTTCGCTTGCGGACTGTAGGCCACGGAGTTTTTTTTTTTAATTACTTCAATCGTGTTTAAATGTTCAGTGCCTTAAGACCTGAATATCTGACTACTATTAATCTTTCTCAGTGGCGGAGTTTTCCAGGCGCAAACCGATCTTGCATTAAACATGACATGAATCTCGGTTTATCATCGTCCTTTCGGTAATTAAATGCTCAATCCAGATATGTACTACTAAGGTACCTCGCTGACGCTTCGTAGGAAAGTACTGTATCCATCTTCAGAACTCTTCTCGGTAGATTTCTACCAGAATACGCGGCGTCACATCTACGAAGGTAAAAGTAAAAAAGTAAAGGTGTCCCTGTAACAGGCCGTAGAGAACCATAGTGTTGTGAGATGTTGAGGTTCCCACATTTTCTAGACAATTGGCTCATAGATGGCGTTAAGGTGGTCAAGACTTACGCACCGGCCGCCCTTTACCCCCAAGAATATTCTAAAAATATTCTTGGTACTAATTTCTGTTAGAGGCTAAGTCGACACCAGAGCCATATTGGGCCGGAAGGATTGAGTAAATTGAAAAAATCCACCTCATCTGGATTCGATCCCGCGACCTTCCGGCTTGTAGCATAGTGCCTAAACCAACTACGCCACAGCGTGTACCCGCACACATCTACGAAGATAGTACTCTTAAATGAAATTTAATTTTCCGTCAGTTAAATGATGCTCAAACATATCTACGAGAGATTTTTTCTTAATCCCAAGTCGAAGAGGAGCATGGAAAAATGTGTTAGGTTGACTAAGTTCAGCAGTCTTGATCCAAGTAGGCCTACTCAGAGAACACCTGGTGTATTGCCTCCAATGATCTCATGTGGGAATCGATACTATAGAAGCAACGACAATTCAGATAAACGCATGATTCTGTATCAAACTGTAGGATAGAAGTAACTTCCGTCCTGAAGATGGAAAGAGAAAGTTAATCCGAGACGTTGTAATACACCTGCCACAATACACGGCATCAAAATTCAGAATAGCATACTGTATACTTTTACATTTCGCCTAGCATTCAGCAACAAATTAGGCCATGAAAGTGTTACATATTCATTAATCTATTTGGGAAGAAATGGATCAGTGGGGGCCTTGAATTATGAACAAGGTCGCGTCATTTTACATTCAATTTAGGCTGTCCAGTAAAATCAGGTACTAGCAATAAATAACGGGAAACGACTGAGGCGCGACTTGCGATGTAAAATCAGTGCCTACAAGTGAAGAAACAAGGGCGCACATTTTAGTCTTTATTCTTGTTCTGTTTGGCTATTAGGCTTTTTTAAAATTGTATCAGTTTTTGTTTAATTTTCCTTTCTCTTGCCCATTTTGTTACGTAGGCCGAAATACACTCATCAGGCTTACACAATATTGTATTTGAGTATCTTGTTTTAATTCCTACTTCTTTGGTTTTATTTTGGCAACTTTTAACTGAATGTTCTGATGGTCGTGTGGTATTTCTTTGCACTGTCCATAAAATACACTTATTCGCGCTGTTAGTACTACATGCTTCGGTTAATATTGTGACCATCATCAGATTCTTGATATTCTGCAGCTCTCACGAAGTATTACCATAATCATCAAAACAGCACCTTCTGAGCCATAAACTTCGTTAGAAGATTCTGCAAGATTTGTGCATTAAATCAAACCATCCTTTCTTCACTTCTTTGGAATCTGGATTTGTCTTGCAGAGCATTGTCGCCGGGCTTGCGCCCATCCCCCAGCCTGGACCTCCACGTTTCTGTATTAATGACCCCCCAGTGACAGGGTGCCCCAGTTATACCCCCCGGCACATAGTTCCTGTATCGTCGCCTTCAACACCTCGCGGGGATACGGTTGAGGTACTGCAACCACCCTTCACACGGAATTAATGAAATGTCAGTTTCTTTCATATTTTTCCACTCGACTAAAAACCTCACGGACGTGCTTTCTTTCACTGTACAAGTTAATTCGAACATATTCTTTACGGGTACATTTATGTCTACTCTACTTCACAGTCTCGTAACCCGGAAGATCCTATCTAATTACCCAGGCCTGGTTAGTATTCCGTTAATTATATTGTTTTTGGTTTCTTTGATATGAGAACTCTCTAAACCACTCTCAGCTCTCTCCGTTTTCAAGGACGGCTAATCGAATATATTTGGATTGAAGAAATACAAATAAAGTATTTATGGGTGATACCATTCTGTAATGAAAGGCAGTTTACATGTCGTGTAACAACGTGTCATTACTCCAAGATTTCTGTTTGTTACAGTTGGTATTCCGGTCTAGGAAACCGAAATTAACGGGCGTGGGGATTCGTTGCGCTGATCACTTGACACCCTCTACCCACTGAATTTGGCACTAACTTCGCCGACAAGCGGCGGTCGCTCGGCCGGTATATTTCGCTTGCGGACTACAGGCCACGGAGTTTTTTCTTTATAATTGGTATTAGGGTTGCCTTCAGCAAAACTATCCTCTCGTAGGAGTATAACACAGGCTTTCTACATTACACAGGCGGATGGAGTACCTCAACGCTAGAATAAGCGACAGTGCTTCTCCATCAAGGAATCAGGTAATAAATTTGAGCGAAGTGATCTCAATTACGGTAAAAGCGACGAACTCAATATTTCAATTCCCGAGGCAGTAAGTTTCGTAAACTTTTGTTTCAAATATGTTAATTTATTGTATTTATTTAATTATTTTGCATCCTGCTATCTTACAAAATTTAAACAAGGGAGCGATCAACACAACAACGATTTAAATTAAACTAAAAAAAAAAACAAAGTATACGATTAGTCAGCAGAAAAGAGGCCATCAGCCTGAAATTAACCAACTCCATATACCGAGTGCCTCAGAAGGAAATGTCAGTATTCTGGGAGGTCATAGTGTCGGTCATTCTAAGCAAAAAGTGTGCATGTACTCGCACTAGTTGCAGAGCGCACTGTTGTTGATGGTGGAATATTCTAAAATGTTTTACACTAGGTAAATTGTACCAACTTTGCTATTTGAACAATAAATGCTGGCATTAGGAAGTGCCTATATCTCTTATCAACAAATCTAGAATTCTACAGTGAAACATCTCTCTCTTAGTAACAGTTCCGTATATGACACATGGACAATTTTTTCCCTTAGAATGGCAAATACTATGACCTCCCAGAATACTAACCTTTCCTCCTGAGACACTCTGTATAACACTACCAAGAAATTACTATTCGCGGATTAATAACAAGAGTGAGATGCTTTCTAAAAACACAGCCATGTAATATAAGCCATGTCTAAGGGATCTAATCATGTATCAGATCCATAAATTTGTGTTTCATGAAATTATATTGACCGCCTCTTCTTTGTCCGCAACGTGAGAGAATAACTGAAATAGTTTATGAAACCCTGAAAGGCAACATTTTTGTTAAATCACAAAGAATCCCTACACTCCCAACGTATAATATTCTGGGTTATTTACTTCTGTAACGTTGTTTCTGATGGTACGGTTACAACTTTAGACGCCTACCGATAAATGGTTTTGGATAAGCTTCAAGTCACTTTCTTAAGATGGATCGTCAGTTTTCTTTTTATTAATCTTCATTTTTGTTAGATTTTATCTTTATAATTAAGTTTTATGATGAAGTATTGATGAAATTATTGGGTGTCTGAAGACATAGGGCCCCCTTCTCACACAAGGCTCGAGTACCAGGTTCGAACGAATCTAATTTTCTGCAAGGACTGTCTTCTTGCCGGGGCAGAGATAGCGCAGGCCGTATGGCGACTGGCCATGGGCTGGAGGGCCCAGGGTCGGAGTTCGAGCCAAGACTTTTCCGCTCTCCACGTCGTCCAGCCCGGTTTGGGGCACAATAAATCTCCTATCCAAAAGTTACCGGGGACGCTTTATCAGGGGTTAAAGCGGCCGAGGCGTGAACCTGACCATTCACCTCCAATTAGTGTCGAGTTTAAGAATACATGAATTTATACATTCACTCCCTCATACCCCTTCATGGAATAGTGTTTAATTAGTTATGTGCGGGGACAAATTTACCTTTACTATCCTTTTTAATAAGTCTGAACTGATTCGCAAGAGATCTGAGGTTCTCAGGCTATGAAGATTACCGTTCACTTTATCGTGACGCTATATAGTCTTGGAGATATTCACAGACGTTTCGAAGGAACCAATTGCTTACTTTCAGGATAAAATGCCATTAAGAGTGAGGCAGTCGGTTCCTCTGAAACACTGGTATGTACCAGACTATGAGACGTCACATCACAGAAGTTGACATCTTCAAAGCAATAGAAGTTACGTATATGTTGCTTTCTTAGTGTAGGAAGCAGGCCCGGAGTAACACCACTAAAACTGAGGACGTATGTGACAGCAGTTGAAACTGACGCGTGCCATTCGTCAGAACACACAACTATCGTTGTTTTGCGAACGCAGGCACACCGATATTGTGCCATAAGGCTGTAGCAGAAATCTGGAGAACGACCTACGATACAAGAGGTCAACTGCCTTTTTTTTACTAAAATGACGTGTTTGATGTTTTAGGCAAATTATTGACTAAGTGTCTGAAATTATACTATGTGAATTCTCTAAATAATTCGAATTCATAAGCAATGAGAAATATAAACAGAAAATATTTCCTTGTTAATGCGTATTGGGTTTCTGAAACTGAGTCGCCCGTTGGATACCCGACGAGATCATTGTTCTTTTTCAATTGACCTAATCCTTCTAGCCGAAATATGGCTCTGAGGTCGACTCAGTGTCCAGCAGAAGTGGGTACCAGGACTCTTCCTGGTGTTAGATGGCGGTTGGCGCGTGAGGCAGACAGCCTCTCTGTAATCGGTGAGCTCATTGTCTAGAAAATGTGGTAGCCTCGACGTCTCACAACCTTATGGGTCTCCACAGCTTGTTGCACGGCCAGCTTTACCTTTTGTATCTTTAAGCTACAAATTACCGAGAAAGTGCTTCACCGTTTCAATCTGTGGAAGTTAAAAATACGTGAGCCTGAAAAGACAACATTGGTTACGTCTGTCTCTCCCTCGACAATAGTTTTGAATAAAAATCAGAACCAGGACTTCTAGCACTGGTTTCTCGACTCCACACAGCGGCTCTATTCATATATACATTTATTACTCATCAGTGAATCACTCTTCCCTTATAATAATGTGCGTCCAGGGCCGAAGCGACAGCGCAGGCGCGGAGTCTGGGAACTGCACATTTTACAACTTCTTTTCTTTTAACTGTCAGCAACAAGTCATATTTTATACTTATCTTTTGTTCATACCGTGACAACTAATTAAAAATCTGAACAGGTATTCCAACAAGATACATAAAACAGTTTTAAGAATTACAACACTAATGACGAAATTCCTTAGTGTTTGGTAGTGTGTTATTTGACGAAATTTGGGGGAAATTGATGGGTGTGACAAGAATTTGGCGCCTGAAGCGACATTTAATCTGAAACCAATCTTTCGTTTGCCATAAAATTCCGAGGTATTGTTACTTACCTTGACACAGAAGTAACACTAGAAGAACAGCAAGGAACCTGCAAGTACCCCATATCTTGAATGTGGTCATGCCAGCCACAGACTAAACTGCAAGCAAAGGAAACGAGTGAATGATCAGATAACTTTATATCAGCATACGCTAAAACAATATTTACTTTAAGAGAGATAAAATGGAACTTTTTACATCCTGGAATATTACGACAATTCGGTTCACCGTAGTGGTGGGGTTTGTGCGCCCTGATCACCTGGAGAGCTAAGCTAGCGGAAGCGAAAGCTTCTGGTAATTAACCATATTAAACAGGTGGGAAAATAGTGAAAAGGTAAAAAGGAATTACCTCTCGTGGTTCGGGGGTTTAGGATGAAATTATCTTTCTCCCCTCATAACAGAACCTACTTCAAGAAACATGGCAATGGTTACCAGATGAGAAAATGGACATTTGTTGTAAAGGTGACAAATGTTACAGGGCTTCGGAACCGAAGAATGAAGAACACGCGTAACATTTTATGAAACTAAGTACTCAATAAATTTTATTTTTTCGTGACATTTTTGTTTTAAATAATGGCACGTTTTCTTGAAAAGATAACTTAAAGAAGCACAATTTGAAAATATATTCAGAGAAAGCTTACTACAACCATGCATTAATATCTAGGCAATGAATATTAATTTATTATTATTAAGGAGGAATATAGAATTCATTGCAAGGATCATATTTCTTCCAAACACAGGAAACCCATTCAACAGCTCCCTATGAAGGTGGTCAAATGTCGGCAGTGTTTCGTACCGGAGCTGGGGCACCTGCTCTGTCTCGAAAGCAATATATGCATGATGCAGCCTAATGGGGTCGCACTCTTAAATAAAATATTGCTTTCTAAGTCTATCAGGACCAAAATTTTAGGAGTATTATCTTCTAGAATATGACGCTGTTTAGTTTGGTAGAAGTTTACAGATATTTCGAAGAAACATACTTCCTCCATCTTTAGGATCGAAATGTAAGCTGAGAAAATAGGCTGTAAGCGCTATTCTAATTGTTTGGTTTACTTTTCGACCCTGAAAATTGAGGCATTGTTTTCCTCAGAAACATCGGTAAAATTCTATCAAACTACACGCCGTCACATGCAGATACAATAATTCACGTAACAAATTACAAACAATAAAAATTATATAAATTAATTCCAAAACTACAGTAAATGCTACGAAATTTTAAAATTGATCTGATCTACAATCTAAATCATATGAGTGTTATTTAACCAAATTTGAAGCTGGGTTGTGTACACCATACCTGACTCGAGCACACGCTTCGACTAACAGAATCCCACTTCTAAGGCGTCTGACCACTTTGCGGGCTTGACAATTCTACTGCTCTCATATGAATGGAACGCTAAACCAACTCCCATACCAATCATATTACATAAGTGATTACAGCGCATTCTTACGGTCGTTATAAACTCAAACCCCCTCTACTATAATACTACCCCTCTCACATCCTTCGCCACGTCACAGACTTTTTTTTTCTTTCCCCTTCGTATTCAGAGTTATAAACTCGACTGCCGTTCATGCCTTAGACCGCGCGGCCACTGTGATCAGAGGCCGATTTTACACTCATCCAAAATAATAGGTCAAATTTTAGTTATACATATAAAATACAAAATAGTGTAGTTACTGTACTTTCATCTTAAATTTTAACCTTTGATATGAGGCGGGAAAAAACTGGACTGGATGGTAGCAAGTATTCTCAGAAATTAATGCATTTTTTTTTCGTGGATGTAATTTTGAATTCTTCCTAAAACATTTCAAAGTTTCCATATTTTCGAAGGACTTATTAGTTGATTTTACACTATGATTTGGTCCTGCGTTACTGTAACGAAATAGGAACATAGATATTCACTTCGTGTTTTGTGAGTTTGTTAGAAAACTGTAGCCTATGAGTTCTTCATTTGTTTACAGTATATGGTTCACGGTCCTCCCTCATAACACCTTCTATTTTTTAATATAATAATTTTTGTTTAGCAAAAGAATGGAATAATAAAATCCTCAACAATTTATTTCTAAGCATCGCTTTACTTTTTTGCACATTACAATGCTGAGTATACCAAACACGGTAGATGGTGAAATTCATTTTCCATTGAGATAAATTTGGGAGCCGGGATAGCTCAGTCGGTGTAGCGACTGACTATGATCTGGACGACAGTGGCGTCCGAGTGCGAGTCCCGGTTGGGACAAGAATTTTCTCTTCTCCATAACGTCCACACAGGCTCTGGGGTTCACCCAACCTCCTATCCAATGGGTACCGAGGGCCCTTTTCCAGGGGGTAAAGCGGCAGGGGCGTGAAGCTGACCGTTTACCTCCAACTATTGCCGCGGTCAAGAAAATTTGAATCTATACATCCACTCCTCCATACGCCTTCATGGCGCAGTATTTAATTAGTTAAGCTCAGGGACAACTTTACCTTTTAGAGATATATTTTTATAGATTCTAGTTGCATCTTCTAAACGAAAGAGAAATCTTTTTCCCTCTACATAAAGAGAAGGAGATTTTATATCATGCATTAATATAAATATATTTTTCCCCTTGGCACTACAGCCCCAGTGGGCCTAGGCCTACCTCCATGAACTTCTTCGTTCATTTCGGTTTTTCTAGATCTTACACATTCGGTAGGACTTCTTGGGCTGGTGATCAGCTCGTCGCAAGGCCTCTACCTGTACACAAACACAGAAAAACGCACACACACAAACTAAACATCCATGCCCTGAGTGGGATTCGAACCCACGATCCCGGCTTCCGAGCGAGCGAAGACAGTTTATGCCTTAGACCGCGCGGCCACTGCGACCGGCTTATGTGGAATGTTACAGTCGCAAAACATCAAGATCGAGGTTTTTCGGGAGTATCGGTGTTTCGGGACTAAAAATTATATTAAGGGATTTCAAATTATCATCCTGTGTTCTATCCAATTGTACCTTGCTTACTTACTTACTCACGGAGCTGAGCCCTTCTTGAAGAGCCGCCAATTCTGCAACTACTCAACAATTTCCCAGCCTTTTACGGAAACCGAAGGTTCATCACCGTTTTCACAAGAGCCACCCACTGGTCCCTGTCCTGAGCCAGATCTATCCAATCCATACCATCCCATTCTATCTCTCTAAGATCCATTCTAATATTGTCCACCAACCTATGCCTTGGTCTTCCCTGTGGTCTCTTTACGTCAGGTTTTCCAACCAATATCCTATACACATTCCTCGTGTCCCCCATTCGTGCTACATGACATGCCCACCTCATCTTCCTTGACTTGATAATTCTAATTATACTTGAAGAAGAGTACAAGTTATGAAACTCCTCATTATGCAGTTTTCTCCAACCTCCTGTCACTTCATCTCTCTTCAGTCCAAATATTCTCCTCGACACCCTGTTCTCAAACACCCTCAGTCTATGTTCCTCCCTTAATGTCAGAGACCAAGTTTCACACCCATACAGAACCACAGGCAAAATTATAGTTTTATATATTCTAATTTTTATGTTTTTGGACAGCATACGAGAAGACAAAAGGTTCTGGACTAAATGATAGCAAGCATTACCCGAGTTCAAACTCCTCTTTTCCTCCTGAATCAGGTTTCGATCTGTTATCGTTGTTCCCAAATATCTGAACTGTGCCACATTTTCAAAACATCTGTTTCCTATCTTTATGTCATGATTTTGCTCTGCATTTTGGTGACGAGACCGCAACATATACTTAGTTTTCTCTGTGTTTACTTCTAGACCAACCTCTTTACTTGCGTCAATTAGAGTTTGTGTATTTTTCTTTATGGTATCTACATTATCACCCAGTAGATTCACATCATCGGCATAGGCCAACAGCTGATGTGTCCCATTTAATTTCAGTCCCACCTGGTTTCCCTGGACCTTCCTAATTGCATATTCTAAGGCAAAGTTGAAAAGGAGTGGTGATAAAGCATCTCATTGTTTTAGACCATTCTTGATAGGAAATTTATCAGACAAATGTTTACCTACACGGACTTTACTATACGTTTCGTTTAGACACATTTTAATCAACCTAACTAGTTTCATGGGACTCCCAAACTCTATCAGAATATTGTACAATACTTCCCTCCTAACTGAATCATACCATGTCATGGCGCGTCCTCAGGTTGCGGATGGAGGAGACGGCTTCAGTTTTGGAGGGAAGCTGCGAATATATTGAATAAGCAGTCGCGGACAGCCGACAAGGAGTGGTCCTCCAGCTTGGGGGTTGGGCGTGGGCCTAACAACTCCTCACCGTAAAAATAATTATGTTACGAAAATGAACACAAAAATTTGGACCTGGACGGATTCCTTCGATAAACGACCTAAGATAATGAAGATGGATATGAGATTTGGCACTTGGAATGTTCGAAGTTTGTACAGCTCAGATTCACTCAGGGCAGTGGCAGAAGAAATCTTAAAATCCAATTGTACCTAAGAAATATAAGAGGGACTCGTCGTTTAATGTCAAAGAACTTCTTCTAATGAGCAAACTACAACACTGTCAGCATCTAGACTACATAGCGTCCACTGGTAGGATGCCTAATGGCTGATGAAGGAAGTGCTCATGCACAAGTCGAGATAATCCTGCCAGCACTGGCCCGGATGGTATCAGTCAAGGTAGCCGGTGACCCAGTTATCGAACTGAAAACGTGCCACATTCAAGTGCAAAACATGCACCTTTGCCATATGACAAAATTCGAATTTATTTCTAATTCAGTGTGTGTGGCGCCATGAGAAATTTGTACTTTCATATATGAGACTGTTGTGCCTTACTTTTAGAGGCCCAAGAGAACAGCGCGGTGATGTCGGATCTGAGGGTTCACGGCTTTATCTATGAAGATTATGGTTCTCTTGGATGTGACGTCGTGTAGTCTAGTAGACAGATAGGCCCATCAACTTACAACAGGAACCTAATCTCTCCGTTTTCAGGGTAGAATATGGAGGCAGTAGGCTCCAGACCTTGGTACCTTTACCTCTCAAGCCACAATTTATAGCATAATAGAATATTTTATTCTTCTATATAATTGACTTTCAGTGTACACTGTCACGTGTCCGGGGTTCAGTGACTAATAATAACGGGATCTAAATTCGATGATTGGATTTATTGACACTTTTTGCAGATCTCTCTTATTCACAATCAATTAGGTATAATATTACCGCTAACCTATCCACTTCACAAATCACTAGGACACGCTATCCATTTCCTGACAACAGATTTGTCACACGAATTATCACTTCAAATTACTATGAATTCTTCTTGCCGTTTCTTGTTCAAGTATCTAAACCTGCCGACATTCCAGAACTCAATCCAATTCTCCATTTCTAATCCCCTAGTCTCCTTTCGCTACAAACAGACCCTTGTTATATAGCCGCTGCACGGATCACATAGAAAATATCTTCTCCTGTTTGGGATACGCGATTCTAGCTCCGCTGCCCAGCATTGGGCATAAACGCGGATCACATAGAAAAAACCTCTTATGTTGTCAGAATTTTTGTGTTACTTAGCAACTAGTTGTAGCACGGTCCACAAAGAACACAGCTCCTATTGTTTTGTGCTTGCTGGAACGTGTATACTGAGTCGTTGCCTTGCAATGGTCACGTTCTTCACAATACATTTTGATTTCATGAAAACGAAAAACCGATGTCAAGACCAAATTCATTGCACCACAATTAGACAGATAATTTTATCATGCTATCAGTAGAACTGGCTCTCCTGTAAGTTCACTGGTTAATCAGGCATTTTCCTGATACATAAATAAGGCGAAAACTACATGCTTGAGAATGTAGTCACTGTTTACGGTTCTGCCCTTTACGTGGCAATCCCACTTTGAGTCTTCCGCCTCCTTTTGTAACTACTTGCTGAGTGTCTATCTATCTATCTCGCTCTCTCACTTTCTTTCTATCTCTCTCTGTTTCCGGGTTTTAGCAAGAATTCGAGGAGCAAGGAAACGGGCACCAGTGGAAGACTGATTGTGCTTTTGTAGGTTTCTGTGACCAAGTTTCACAAAATTACAGTCATGCAAAAATTTGAATCTTTACGTTTAGAGTCAGAAGTAGGAAGAGCAAAATGCTGTGAAGTAGATGATAGCAAGTATTGCCCGAAATTGATCTGCACTCAGGTTCTTCATGGAAGTAATTCTTAAAGTGTGCCGCCTTCTGGGATATAGTAATGTCATGTAGTCCGTTGAAAGTCAACCCAGTTTCCGGGGGAAAATCTCACCTCCACCTTCAGTGTCAATTAAGACGAGCGAGATACCAGCGTCAAAGTAGGTGGCAAGCCCAGTCTTCTTTTCAAGCTGGTATTTTGCTTGGATTATTCGACCTTGAAGATGGAGGCGTTATTTTCCTCCGAAACGTCCATTAACTTCCAA